CACTGTTAGACATATGCCTCCCGTTAACTGCTCACATTTACTGCTCCTTGACGCTGTGACGTGAATGGGATAGGATTTAACAAACAGAATGACAGAAAACTAAAGAAGATAGTGTATCATACGTGAAACGCATTGTAGAACGTGAAATATTGGCGTTAAATTATATGATGACCATAGATGGTTCTTTAATACCCAGCAAACGACTCCATTTGTAAAGGTACATAGGCTTGCATCTGTGCGGGAAAAAGTCGATCATTCGTTGTACCCAAAGGGCACCATAAAATATTTAACGTTATAATATGATATAATGTAACGGTATGACAGTATGACAAATCTTTTGGTTTCGCACGGGAGCACGCCTATGTACCTTTACAAAGGAAATCATGCATAACCTTTAAGTTGATCGTAATACATAACTGCAACAACACGAATGTTGACGACTTGCGTTAGTATACACAGTGCATTCGGTACGTTTTTTAAACATGATTAGAAAATTGTTGACTGGAGGCTATTACAGAAATGTTTAAAATTTTCGCGTATCACCGCCTTTTCTGTAAATGGGGTGAATATTGTTATCCATTTAATTTTTTTCGACAATTAGTTAAATAATTCCTGCTGGTATTTGGTCCAAGCCCACTTCTTTTCTCCATTCAAGGTGTTTCATAGGTAATTCTACAACCTCTGTATGGTGCCTTGTATATCTGTTTTGGTAATTTTTGGCTATTTTATCTCTGATAACAAAAAACAGTTGTTTCGGATACCTTTATCGCGTTTCCTTTTTTTATGGATGAGTGTGCTGGATCAAGAATTCCAAATCAAGAAAACACAAATAACACTCCGGATTATATTATATAACTAATAGTCGGAAAATAAAGAGCCAGAGGTAGATGACAAAGAAGCCAAAATCCTAATGACAAACACACATATAATCGACTAATCGGACAATTAAGATCAGAGCTACATGATGCACGCAATGCCACATTTGAACACTACATTAATACATTGTCCAAAGATCATTTGGTATGGATAGCACCAAAAACCCTTAAAGAGACCTGAAAAACACAACTCACCAATTAAGAAGATAACGTTAGTTGAGGAAGATCAGACCAGGAAAAAAGTCAACATTTTCATAATACTTCAGAATACTTTTGTTTTTAACTGTCCGCCCGTAAATGACTTGTCATTTTTTAAATAACACTTCATATTGCACTTTTTTATTGTATTTTTCTCATTTTTCAGGATAATTCTCGTAGGAATATATTTATTTATAACATACGGTCTTATGGTCTTACGACAAGTATTACGGCTTGATTATATAACCTAAATATATCTTGTACTGCACTGTTAATTGAGAATTATGTTTGTAATGCGATAAGAGGACCGTATATACGAGACACCAGTGACTCATGGCACACATAAAACTTCGACAGGAAATTTTATTTCTACATTTCTTCAAAAAAAAAAAATAGATTACTTGTTTTGAGTAAGAATTTAGTTTATGTCGAACAAGAGTTACAGTAAAAAATTTTTCTGAAATAAAATATAAATTATATTTCGAATGCTTTGTGAAAGATAACCAATTTATAATATTCCCGACAACGTAAAAACACATTTCTTTTAGAATATCGGTCGATGAATTCAAATCATAGTTCAAGAAACGAATTTATGTGCAGATGTTCTACTACAAAAAATACAAAACCAAAATCTAGATTAAAAAAGTCGCAACTACTTATACTGAAACCCACTTGACCCCCATTAAACCCCATTATTGATTTCACAAGTGATAAAATGGGTCGACAAAGAACCAGTTTTAATTACTACAACATTTAAACATAATAGTTGTATCTTGGTTTATTCAGGTGGAAAGAAAAATTAGACATAAGTGCTAAATCCACAAACTATTCTAGATTATAACGTGAAAAAAGAGTTGATTTTAGTGATCAAATGGCTTTTTACAAAAGCCCAATACGCAAAATACTAAAGTGGTACCGGAAAGTGGCAGTGGAATTAATATTTAATACCGCAGTAGTCAATACTTAGTTGATAAATAATAGAAAACGCGAAAAAAGCGACAACCTATGCTTGAGTTCAGACTGGAATTAGCGAAGGCGTTTGCAAATAAAGAAATGTTGAAACCCTGATGACTAATTACACCCAAAAAATACCATCTCAGGCAAAGCGATGTAGATAATAATAAGAGAAGGAAGTGTACAAGAGGTTACAAAATTTTAAGAATAAGCGTGACTAGTAGAAAGGCCGATAGAAAAATTAAAAAAGTTAAAACATACTGTAAAGAATGTGATGACAAAACTGCAAAAAGCAATTTTACTTATACAGGAACTATTATTGAGTAAAAACGTGTTGTGCCTCAAGTGCCCTTATAGTATTGGAAAACATAAATTGATAGTTTTTAGTAGTATGTTTTTATTGTTAATTACGTATGTTAAAGTAAGTTATAGTATTTGTAAAAAATTGGATGTAAATAATATTATGTGTTCGACATCTAAAAAAGCTAGACATAAACATACACGTAGATTGACCACTGCTGAATTACAATCTTTTTAGAAGCATCTGCCGAGGATGATGTAGATTAAATGAATGGTGGAAGTGACTCTGACGAAATATTTGCACAAAGTCGTTTAGAAAAATCGAGGATTGCTTTTTGGAAACAGACGACACAAACAGAATTTAAGACTTTTCTCGGGCTTATATTCCAAATGAGGACAATTAAAATGGACCGTCTAAATGACTACTGGAAAAGTATGGGTAACTTCTATAATAGTATTGACTTTACTAGACAATTACTGATAGCCCATATTAAGAAATAACCGAATAGACAATCCCCACGTGTCAAAGAAACTAAGAAAAACGTAAAGTGGTCAGTATTTACAGCCCTGAAGGAATATGTGTGACCAAGTGCAGAGATAAACAAGACATAATTACTATTTAAATGGGAATAAGCCACAATTAAAGGTGAAAGTATGTTTATTGGCATTTCAATTTCCAATTCGGAAATCGTTCTCAAAATACAAACGTATTTTCGTATTTTGCCGAAAAACCCTAAATTATTTTGCAGTAATTTATAAATGTTATTAGCTTCGTTTGTACATAATGACATTTAATATAACTAATTTAAATTGGGGCAGTTAATAAGTTATTAAAGTGTGGTATATTTCACATAGATCACAAAGTTATCCAATTTGTTAATCCCAAAGAGCGATTATCTAAACGACTGTACTTGCCCAGAAAGTCACTCTGTACTCTGTATACACACGTGTATTCTGTAAATCGAACTCGCTTTTATAAGAGTTCATTTTTTCAACGGAAAAATTTAGTAAGATAGGTCAAAATAGCACAATTCTTATTATTTGGTTGAGCTACCCTAGTAAAGAAATGAAGGTTCTACGTGCCACAAAAGCCGAGATATTAATTATTTTGCAAGCGTGCTTCAATTTAAAGTCCGAATCTAAAAAAAAAACAAGCTCAGACAGTTCTTACCTCCGTGGTACTTTTCCGTGGCGGTAATTTACGAATACCATTATTTTAATGAGTTATAACAGTTTACTCCTTTACTGTGTATGCCATCTATAACTTCGATCATATATTATAGATCTTAATTCAAAATCCTTTCAATTTTTAGATCTTAGTATTAATAAACAATGAAAATATGATTTTAAGAATTAAATGCTATCTTAGTTCTTATTGGTTAAATAAGGTTCTGTTTTTGTCTCTTTCTTTTCTGATAAGCCATTGAGATTGCAAATTTCAAAATACTTGTACATACAAGTATTGGACAAGTATTTGGACAAGTACAAAGTGATTTGCTTAATATTTAGCACACTTTAAAAACCCATTAATTGCCATAATTTAAAGTAGCTATATTATCTGCCGTTGGGCAAAAAATTAAATTATTAACATTTATAAATAACTAAAAATATAATATTTTAGAGTTTAGGGTTTTCTGCAATTACCTCGCCCAATTATTTATATATTTTAATTTGGTATCCCTCAACATAAAAAACCTTTTATGGTCTACAACTTTTATTTGAATCATTTTTCTTTATAATGTAAAAAACGTTTTACAAGCAAAAATTTAAATTTAAATAACTGTAGAAGATTTTTGAAAACTATTTACCGAGGTTGCATGGTTAAGTTAAATATTATTTTTTTATGTATATTATGTATATAAAAATGTAATATTAATTACATTTTTAATTAACTAATATTTATTGTATATTGTACAAATTATCTAAAATGTGTATACACATTTTGTACAAAAAAACGTTTTTGAGAACGATTTCCGGAATAAAAATCAAAATGTCAAACATAAGTTAATTAAAAATGTGATTCTTATCACAATTACAACCAATAATTGAGGCGTAATCCCATAAAAACATAATATTTACCTCAAACTATTCACCGATAGCTTGGATTAAAGAGGTTGTAAATTGAAATTTATGTAAAATATTCCCCTACATAATTCTCTGGGAAAAATACCTACGTTAAATAAATATACCTTTTATCTAAACAACGAAGAAACCAGTTAGACCGCAACATATTAGCAGGTAGTATCAATGTCGTTGTTTGAACTTGACCCACCCAAAACGGATCGATATGTATGTATCTAGATGTTATTTTAAGTATTATTATCGGCAACATCGATTGGCTTTAAAATGATAGGAAATACAGTGATTTTAAATGATCGATGTTAAAACGTAGGTTTAATGTAAAAAAATAAAATATATAAAAAAATCAGACTATTGAAAAACCGACAACGGTGCTAAGCCAACAGAGGTGCACTAAACGAACATACACGACTTATATATAGAAAATATTGGATTTTCTTGGTGATGCTAAATTACTGCAACGTGAAACGAGTTTAAAATGATGGCGGGATGTATATATATATATATATATATATATATATATATATATATATATATATATATATATATATATATATAATATATATAATAATTTGAAATATATAGAACACTTACCTGACTAACAATTATTGGAAATTGATCCATCCTAGGTCTATACTGAATTAGACTATCTAAACATTTAGTAACAGTTATTCTATTGCAGGCAAAGACCAACACTGGAATCTTAACATCACGGAATTCATATAAATCCATACTATGTTGATACTTTTCATTTTCTTTCTTGATTTCTAATATTTGTTGAGCATCTTTTATCATGACATTATTTTTTAAAAATTCTCTTGATATGCCTTGTTCTAAGATCACCATCTGCTGGCTCAATTTACTAGGTATTTCACTATATATGTGAACAGGATGGTAATAATATGTTAAATAAAATATTGATGACCATATTATTATCAGTAATCCTAATATTAGTGTAGTGCGTTTAATTCGCATCATTTAAGAATGATACAATGTATCCTAGAACAAAATAAAAGTGTAATTTCATTGTTATGTAAATACTATATTTTTGATAGTTAAATTTCTTGACATGGGATAAAATTAAAATAAACGCCTTTAGAAAAGATATAATCACAAATTTTTTATATCAAATTAAAGCTAATTTTTTTCTTAATATGATGATATAAGGTTGCCTGAGAAAAAATGGTCGAAAATTAGGGTTGTCGGCTGTTAAAAACGCGAGGTATCAAAGATAAAGTAAACTAGACCTACGGCGCAGCGACTAGGGATGGGAAAAACCTACCGGTTTTAACCGAAAACCGGTTTTTTTACTTCGAAATAACCGGTTTTATCGGTTGTTTTTTTGTCCCGGTTATAACCGGTATTTTATTTTTAAAGTAAAAACCGGTTATTAGGTTTTTACAGTGATTAGGATTAAGTTAGGTATTATTTTGGATCCCACCCAATCATAATTATTATTCTCAAGTAATTATTCCAAACAAAACTAAAATTCAATTTTTATTTTATTTTATAAATACAGAAGCAAACTGAAAGTCACTCACATCAGCCAGAAACAATTAAGACAATTTATTATAGTATTTAGTTGAAAAAGTATTTGTAATCATAATATTCTTACATAAGAACTGATCTGGTATTTATACATCATCTATTTTTCACACTTGACTCTTGACATTGAAAGTGGGTAAATGGCTTTTTCTGATTACCAAAAATAATTACTATTAATATCGAGTTACCAATTACGAATACGAATCTCCAAGGATTTCACTACGTTTTTAAAACGATTTATACCCATACCGGAAGTCGTAAATGAGTTAAAAGTAATACATGATAATTTTTTTGATGGTAGTAAAAATAAAAGATGAATTGCATTATCCAATTTATTTTTAAGTAAAATATTTACTTAAAAATAAATATTATGTTGATATTATTTTCTTTAAATCCCATTTGAAAGAGTCTGGGAAATTTTTGTTGGGGAATTTTTTTCTCAAAAAACACAAAAAATTGTGTTGTATTTACATTGATATTGATGTCTTTCGATAGTACTAATTTTGATCATACTGATATCGAGTCGAATGTAGTATCGCAAACTAAAGTGCATTGTAAATGTAACTTTCTAATCTATTGGAATCCGAAAACCGGTTTTTGAAAAAACCGGTTTTTTTGGCCGGTTATAATTGCCAGGTTAAACCGTAAGCAAAAAAAACCGGTATAACCGAAAACCGGTGTTTTGTCAAAAACTTCAAATCAGTAGCGTTGCGCGATAGCCGTCTATTATTTTATCTTTGATACCTCGCGCTTTTAATAGCTGGCTTTACCTAATTTTCGATCTTTTTTTTCTCAAGCAACCTTATATCATCATATTAAGAAAAAAATTACTTTAAAACTTTAGTTTGATATAAAAAACATTCATATGGTTATAAGCAACCTAGTTTATTTTAAAAATAAATAAACAAAATAATTTTTTTGTAAAAATAAATTACTATTAATTGAATTAAAAAAAATTGCGGCCACTTTTTCACTGACAACCTGATCCTGCATTGGGATCTTAAACTATAAGTATCTCATCTAGCAAATTGATACAAAATAATAGCTACGAACAAAACTTAGGATTACATATGCTATTTATCGATTTTAAACAAGCATGATTCCCTAAATCGAACGATGCTATATGAGGAAATGAGAATATTAGAAATATCAGAAAAGCTTATAAGGCTAGTGAGAATGACGCTTAGGAACACGGTGAATAGGGTAACAATGAAAGGAAGCTTTTCAAGACAGTTCACAGTGAATAGAGGTTTAAAACAAGGGGATCCTCTATCAACGAATTTATTCAACCTAGTAATTGTAAGATCAAATATAAACACAAACAGGACTATTTTCAATAGCAGGGACCAGTGCATATCGTAAGCGGATGATGTGGTGATACTAGCGAGAACAAAAAAAAACATTTAGAAAAAGTTTTCCAGAAATTTTAAGAAGCGAAAAGATAATGATTAATAATAAACCAAACAAAAACGCAATATATAGAAATGAGCTGAGACATAACAAATAATAACAAATATATCAAAATGAAAGGAGCAGAGACTGTCTATAGTTTTGAAAAAGTCTCAGAATTTGAAAACTTAGGAGTAACTATAACAAACACATGAAAAGAGGAGAAAGAGATAGACAAAAGATTAATGAATGGAAGCAGAGCGATGGAGGTACTAAATGCATTACTGAAAGCAAAACATGTGTCAAAAACAGCTACACTGCGAGTCTACGATATAGTAATCAAACCCACAGTGATGTATACCGGTGAACCGTGGATTATGCACCAGCAGGAAGAAAAGAAAGTAGATATCTGAGAGAGAAAGGTGCTCAGAAAAATCTTCGGAGGAATAAAGACGACAGAGAATATTTGGAGAAGACGAACGAATAACGAAATAATGAAGGTGTATGGAAAACCAGCAATTACAGCAAAAATTCGAGCCCAAAGGGCTAGATGGTTTGGTCACATTATACGAATGCCAGAGAATCGAAATGTTAAAACAAAGCAGTAAAGCAAGACTTGTCAGAAATAGGCGTGACAAATTGGAGAGAGAAAGCAAGGTACCTAAAAAATGGAGGTAAATCAAGTTTTTAGAAGCCAGGGGCCTATACGGCCTCTAGCGCTGCTCTATATATATATATATATATATATATATATATATATATATATATATGTCTTATTCGTTATATACTCCCCTTTCATTTGCCATGTCGCACATTAAAATTCGATCAGTTGTGTATTTTGTACTCGGCCTGAGGCCTTCTTTAAGTCAATAAATCAACATTTGTCTTGTGGTAAATCGATTGTTATCCACCACGCCCTATGATATCTCGTATGTCGCAAAATGTCATTATTAATAAAGATACTGTGTAATACCCTTTTCGTAGTCGCCTTGTTTAAATACCTTTTTATTTGCTATGTTAGGATTCGATCAGTTCGAGTCACTGAATGCCTAAATGAAATTGTTTTCCAAAATAAAGGTTTTAATCGCCACTCAATGTCTCTTGTTATCCTTCTTTTTATGAAATTGCTTTCCAAAATAGACCACAATGTTTCAATTCTCAATTGTCAACTTCCACCATTTCAAATTATTTTTCTTCTTATTAAAATTTATACTTGAGTAAAATATTATTTCTGCTTTATTGTGATTGACTTTTTATTATTAATAATTTATATATTATTGTTTGATTTCTTTTCTATTAAAATTTAATAAAAAATTGACTTTTTCCAAAAATGAATTGTGACAGTTTGACTTCTTAAAAATTAATCCTCTTTACGCTCAAAGTGACAGAGTATTTATAGATATTCTATTTTAATCCATAATTATTATTTCAAATGTCCACTTTCTGTTCAATTTCACATGGATTCACTATCTCATATCACTTTTATTCACAAAATGTCCCAATATATCAAATTTACTCATCTTAATCTATTTATAATATCATAACTATCAAAATAACCAGATACATTGCAAAATAAAAACTTTTTAAACAAACTATTATGCTAATTTCTTAGGGATGCCCTCATATAAATACTTTTTATAATATTCTCTAGTATATATCTCATAAATTACTTCTTTAATCGCCATTTAAGTTCATTCTAGGTTTCTAAACATTGTGATTGCCTTCCTTTCGTTGATATTAAATATTATCTCAATACCCCAAAATTAATTTTAAAAGAAATAATTCATTTATTATTTTTTTAAACATTAATTGTTCTTGTCTACACACACTCGTAAATATAATATTAATATAATTAGATAATTCAATTTTTTATTTAAAATTGCCCTATTAACCACGTTATGTGTTTATTTATAGACAAGATCTAGAAAATTATTCATTGTCTTTCTTTTTTGTTTAAAAGATTTTCATCAATGTGAAGGGTAGGTTTTATACACTTTTACACTATATACACTAAGACAAACAAACACTTTAAAATTTATAAGGAGAAGCTACATGTTTTATAGAAGCCGGAGACAGAATGTCTTTCTGTCTGAATGTCTGAATTCTGTCTCCGGCTTCTATACAACATGTAGCTTCTCCTTATAAATTTTAAAGTGTTTGTTTGTCTTAGTGTATTGTATTTTGTATTATGTCCAAATTTTACATTTATGACATTCTACTATGTCGGATAGGCCACAACTGACGAAATGCCCCTGAAGATGATCTATTGATCGAAAGTACTTGGGCAAGATTAAATTAATCACCGTGTTCGATAGTTTCCTTGTATACCCTCAAAGTTTAATTATTCGAACATTCAACCTTATATTGATTTATTCTGATTATAGTCACTAATCCATTTTCTGTTTCCTATATGACCAAATATTAAATATTCTGGTACTTCCTCTGTATTGAAATTATGTGTATTATTTAAAAAATATTCTACGTGATCTATATGTTGCTGCCATGTCCCATGTTGATCCTGGCATATTATTCTTAAGTATTTTATAACCTCTTTAATATATCTTTCTGCAGGATTTGTCTGAGGATGTCTGATACGTGTAAAATAAATGTTGATCCCCTTTTCTCACAAAATGTCTGAAATTTTTGGTTGTTAAAATATGTAGCGTTATCTATTATACAATTTCTAAATGGGGTGGGGGAGAGTGAGAAAGTATTTGTGGATAAATACCCATAACTTTCGTTTGGATCAACCGATATTAACGAAATTAGTATCATTAGAGGAATGTGGATGATTTAATATTTACATCTACTATAAAACAATTGCATTTAGTTTTAATTGTCATGGGTAGAGGGTACTTTCGAATAGAAAAAATTAAAATTTGTTTTCCTTCAAAATGTTTAATGGAAACACCTATTTATTGTAAATTATAATGGAACTTGATTAAATTCGTAACAAAATGGAGCAAACCGCATGATGATAGCTTTTGTCGAACTCGAGATATGAATAAAAACGCATAAACATAAGTAGGTATAGTATTGACTCA